TCCCAGAAAGAAATATATATTTGTATTTTAACTCCAGAGTATGACAAAAGTCAAAGCAGCTGTTTTATAGCTGGCAACTGTGAAAAATGATACAGAAACAACAGCTGCTGTAGAAAAACCAGTTAGGAAAAGTACCTTACGCAATGCAACATTTCACTGCAGGCAGCCATACTGCAATTTTTTACTATGAATCTCCAGTGTAAAACCCAAATATGTTTCGAATCTGTGTTTCAACAATACTTACTTTCTTCATATTCCAGTCTTCCGAATTACTTTACATAAGATGAAACTTCCCCATTCCCAACATAACTCTCATGTTCTTGCCTGTCCATGTTAACATGCTCCAGAATCATAGAACAGTTTGGGTTGGAAGGAACCTTCAAATGTCATCTAGTTCAACCCCCTGCAATGAGCAGGGACATCTTCAGCCAGATCAGGTTGCTGAGAACCATATCCAGCCTGGCCTTTAATGTCTCCAGTGATGATGCATCTACCACCTCTCTGGGCAACCTGTGCCAGTGTTTTACCACCCTCACTAAAAAATTTCTTCCTCACATACAGCCTGAATCACCCCTCTCTTAGTTTAAAACCATTACCCCTCATCCTATCTTAACAGGGCCTGCTAAAATGTTTCTCCCCATCTTTCTTATAGACTCCTTTTAAGAACCAAAAGGCTGCAATAAGGTCTCCCCAGAGTCTTCTCTATGCTGAACAACCCCAACTCTCTCAATTTGGTTAGTACTATTGCTGCCCTAATCCCTATAGTGAATGATGCTAATTACTACATAGTATCACTATTTAATTGAATGTTTGACATGTTTCTCTTAGTCTTCTTAAGTCACGTGTGTATAAACACCTGTCATTCTTGTCATCATTAGCCTATTTATTATCTTAAGCAGGTTTAATATTGAGAGAATGGGAATTTAGTTCCTCATTTCCTCCATTTTTGTCTTCCCCAATCCATCAGGCAGTATAGATTTTGTGTAAAGGTTCAGGAAAAGGAATGAGGTTTTTAGGAACAATATTAAGTACAACTCCCAACCCTGACCTTTTCTACAGTTCTGCAATGTCTCCAGAAGTAAAGCGACAAGCTCAGATTCAACTTATATACAACTGATCAAAAAGCCACCAGCTGTGCCATGCAGTAACATAAAATGAAAAATACCATCTCCAAATGACAAATGGCTTGCTTTTAAACAGTGCTTTCTCCAAGAAGTCTGTCTAATAGCAGAATCCTTAGAAATAACCTTCCTGTGGTCATGAACATTTGCTTCCACAGTATTCAGAAGTACTCCACAAGTTCCATACCATACATATAAAAAAACCAAAACAAACAAACCATATTTCCTTCAAGTTTCACTCTCCTTTTCAACCCCTGTAAATGCATTGCTGCTGTAATACAATTCCTGCACTGTCCCCATCGCTGTAATGTGTTATAGAAAAACGTGCGGACATTATGCTGTGGACATGTTTTCCGCCTATCTGCTGACACACTGTTACTTCCACAGCTTGCTGGGCTGTACAGGTAAAAGGTATTAATCCAAACGGTCTAATCCAGAGACCCATTGGAGAGACATTCATAAATTCAGCTCCCTTTAGACTACAAGTTATCCCAACACATAATGCAATCACACCTAAAAGCAGAGTCTTTCTCACATGAAGTGGCTGTGGTGAGGGATAGTACCTCACAAACAAAGCAATGATAAATTCATCTGGAACCAAACCAGAGCTACTGAAAGAGAATTTGTATGTCAACAACAAGACGCACTGAAGTGAAGACACAGAATAACTGTCTCAAGTAAATAAAATGCTCATTTAAAGAAATTGTTAATACTCATTTGCGGAACATAGTACAAACCACGACTGAATTTTGTTTCATTTCTGAATGAAATCCATTTATGCTTCTAAGCCATACAAAAAGCATACCAAGGGAAAAGTTACAGTGCAAATAAAAAGGTACAGATTAGGGTAATCGAATTATGAAGAAATTCCAGTGCAGGCTGAGGTAAACATAAAAAAAACAGACTAATTCAGTTCCCAAGCAACTGACTGCTCTGGAGCTGTGCCTCAGGATACAGAAAGCCACACAGAATGGGGCCACTCAATCACACCCAGACCAAGATCCAAGCTTAAAAACGTGGGTTTTTGTGGTTTGGGGTTTGTTTTTTTTTTTGTTTGGGGTTGGTTTTTTTTTGAGGGTTTTGGTTTTTTGGTTGTGTGTTTGGTTTTTTTTTTGTTTTTTTTTTACAGCAGAGCCAGGCTGTTTGAAACAGGAAGAAGGCAGAAAGCGTCACTGGTGTATGCTGTATATATGTTATGTTCACTGGTATACATTGTGTATATATGTTTATATGGTCCTTCTATACAAGTAGATGAGAAAAACTAGTCTAAAGATCCAAAAAGAAATATGCACATATCAGCTTCATGTGCCTACCACAAATAAACCACTTACCCGTGGACTCAAACTCAAACCCACACTGTTCCTCCAGGTCTGCTCTTCCAGCTGTTCCTACCTAGTCTGCTTTCCTAAGTTTCCAGGTTCTAGGACAACACACCAGCACACTCATCCCTGGTATGAAGGAAGTTTGATTGGAAGGCAGAGTAAATTAGGCAAGGCAAGAGCAACAAGTATCTGGGAAACAAAGTGCTCAGTCACAGAGTAATCCTGCACTGCAGCTATCTTCAGCTGTCACTTTATCAAATGGATTTCCTTCCTCCCTCCCTCCTACCCTGCAAGACCAAATGTTTTACTAACAGACAGTAGTTAATAATCAGGTTTAGTCTCTCTTGAAAAGGAGATTTAGAGAACATTATGTAATAAGAATATGTTTTATAAATTGGCAAACAACTGTAACATCACACTGAAAACTGTTTAATGAGATACTTCATACTTACTGGTCTTCCACTCTAAAAAACACAGCTAGAATCCAAAATTCACAATGAACTTTGGTTAAATAAGCACTTCTCCATCTCAAAAGAATGTAAGGTTTCAACTACCGTGAATTCATGCTAAGAAGTATTTTTCAAGGGCAAACGTAGTGCTGAAGACAGCTTAGAAATGTTAACATGTTAAATCGCTTCAAATGTTTAAACACACTGGAAACCATACCCATACCGCCAGTCTTACAAATCACATTCCTCAGACCTTACACAGATCTATGAATAGTAGCCCTCATCGCAACTCTCACCTTCCAGATCTTCATTAAAATCACTTAGATGCAAAACAGAAGTAGAGAGACTCCCAGATCTAATGGTATTTGGGGAATTATTTGTATTAGAGACAGACATAAAAACACATAGACAAAAGCTAACTATTCATATCATAGAACAGTCTGGGCTGAAAGAAACCTTAAAGATCTCGTAGTTCCAATCCCCATGCCATGGGCAGGGACACCTTCCCATACGCCAGGTTGCTCAAAGCTCCATACAACCTGGCCTTGGAACACTTACAGGGATAGGGCAGCCACAGCTTCTCTGAGCAACCTGTGCCAGTGCCTCACCACTCTGATAGTGAAGAATTTCTTCCTTATATATGATCTAGATCCCCCTCTTTCAGTTTAAAGCCATTTCCCCCCTGTCCTGGAACTACCTGCCTTCATAAAAGCCTCTCTCCAGATTTCTTGTAGGCCTCCTTTAGGCACTGGGAGGGTGCTGTAAGGTCCCCCCAGAGCCTTCTGTTCTCCAGGCTGAACAAGCCCAGCTCTCTCAGCCTGTCTTTATAGGAGAGGTGCTCCAGGCCTCTGATTATCTTTGTGGTTCTCCTCTGGACTCACTCCAATGCTCATGTGCCTCATGTTTGGGAGCTCAGAGCTGAACATAGTACTGCAGGTGGAGTCTAACAAGAGAGGAATATAGGGGCAGGATCACCTCCTTCGACTTGCCGGTCATGCTGATTTTGATGCAGCCCAGGATACGTTTGGCTTTCTAGGCTACAAGTGCACACTGCTGGCTCATGTTGAAATTCTCATCTACAAAGGCCCCAAGTTCTTCTCCTCAACATTGCTCTCAATATTACACAGCCTTTTTCATCAAGAAATTTAGGGGAGTAAAGAGATAGAAAGAATATATAGAAAGTGAACTCTCAGAGACGACACAGCTTTCCTAATTATACACCTAATAGACACAATCAGGTTTCATTGTGAACACCTGTTTCAGCCTCCCTTACCTATAGCCCATAAGATTTCCCCATACTAAGTCCTGTTAAAAATAGTCTTGTCTTTAGGAAAAAAAAAAAAAGAAAAAAGAAAAAAAGTTTTTGAATGATGAAAAACTTTAAGAACTTATTAGCCTAATGAGTTAATGTTATTCTAAAAAATGGCACCCTCTAGTCTCAGGATGTCCAACTACAAATTTCCAACACTGCATGTTGCTAAAACTTTTCTCTCTTGAGCAAAAGACCCATTGCTCACCTTGATATTTCTAGGCAATGATGCAACCACTTCTTGATTTTAGATCTGCTCAAGACTATATGCTCTGAGTGGCTTCACAGCAAGGGGCACTTAAATGTTTTACATACTGCAGTGGACTGCACCCACACACACAAATCTCCCACCTGAAGCTCATACACCAAAACAGTAACACTTGTGCACCTCATAGGTAATCTCCCCACCTGCTCCTCTATCTTCTCACAGTGACATAAAGGGCTACTCCCTCTATAACTGCTCATCACCCCTCACCTCCATCAAGGCTTTCCGAAAATCAGTAACTCTGGGGTGCAGAATCCCCAACTAACTGTTCCCCTGTGCTGTAACTCCACGCTTGGTATGTTGAAATGCATATTGGCTAGCTGCACTTCAGTAACTACCTAGTAATTAAAACTATATGAGCGGTTCTCAGTCTCCATCATTTGCTTCTTTGTATAGTCATATACTGAAATGTTAGTCATTATTGCATGTAGTAACAAGTAGTCTATATTTTTTAAAGCAAAAACACGGAAGAAAAATATTAAGGCAGCATACAATAAGAGCTGATGTTCACTGGAGCACCACAGAGCCACTCACCTCTTCAGAGACGGACAGTTTAGCACCCGTCCTTAGCATCCCTTCCACCGCACAGTGACCACAGGAGGCATCACTGACGGGCAGGATCCACCACCTTCAAATTTCAGAGTAAAGTAGGGTAAAAAAAAGCATTTAAAAAAATAAAACCCAATCAAACATGCCAGCACCTCCCGCCAGGTTATCGAGGCCGAAGCACCTCTCGGGGGATGGGGGGCAGACCCGGGCTAGCACAGCCCCTCCGGCGGGACAAGCCCAGCGCCGTAGCGGTTTTCGCTCTGCACTGGGACTGCGCTACCTGCTCCCCCTCGAGTCCGGGAGGAGATGCTGGAAGAAAACCCTGTAAGAAAGAGAGACTTACCAGGAACCTCGTCAGGAAAGGAAAACCACGCACAAGCAGCTGCATCGCCGCCGCGGCGGCTGAGGGCTGCTGATGTCAACCCCGCAGCTCGGCAGAGCAAGGAGGCGACGTCCCGCTCTCGCTGCCGCGAGGCTCAGCTCCTGACTCAGACAGAGAGCAGGCACACACACAGCAGAACGTGTGTACAGGCTGACTCGTCCTAACGCCTGCAGGTGTAGCCCTACGGCACCCAGCCTCAACCCGCTCCCCGCCCGCAGACCAAGGGCTGCCACTGCGCCCGAGCAGGACGAGAAGCGCCCAGTGGTGGCTCTTTCTCCCCTTCCCTTTTCTCCCCTTCCCTTTTCTCCCCTTCCCTTCCCTTCCTTTCCCTTCCCGGAGCGTTCCCCGTACCTCTCCGGATGCTGCTGGGCAAGCCTTGCCGCCGCTCCCCAGCGCCTCTCGCAGGCGAGAAACGGCCGGGGCTGGGGATGCGGGACGGGAGCTAAGAACGCCGCCGCCGTCCCGCTGTGCGGAAAGTGGGGCGGAGTCACCAGCGGAGCGGAACCTAGCGGAGGCTCTCTCCGCTCCTCTGGGCGCACCGGGGCGAGGGGCTACCCGCCTGGGATCCCCGCTGTGGGGAGAAGTGAGTCTGCCCTCCCGATAGGGCTGGGGAAGGGTGCGCACCCTGCGGCGAGAGCGCAACCCTGCTGGTTATCGTCGCCTCCTCGTTTTTATTTGCTGGGAGGTAGCAGCTCTGGAGGCGACTCGGTGATTTCTCAGAAGGCTCTTGAAAGCGGGTAGAAAGGTATTTACAGCTTTACAACTTTTCAACCTTTGGTAACTAGTAGCTGTGTCCTGTGCACTGGGTGAGGGAAGCATCTGAACGGTGAAAGAGTATAGAAGTGTATAATAAAAGGCGCTTTCAGAATCAGACTGATTTGGGTTGTGAGGGACCTTAAAGACCATCTAATTCTTATGGTCACTGGATCAGGTTGTTCAAAGCCCCGTCCAACCTGGCCTTAGAACACTTACAGTGGTGGGGCAGCCACAGCTGCTCTGGGAAACCTGTGCCTTCATCTCACCACCCTCACAGTGAAGAATTTCTTCCTAATATCTAATCTAAATCTACTTTCTTTCAGTTTAAAGCCATTCCCCCTGGTCCTATCCCTACCTGTCCTTGTGAAAAATCCCTCTCCAGATTTCTTATAGGCCCCCTTTAGCTGCTCTAAGGTCTCCCTGGAGCCTTTTCTAGGCTGGACAAGCCCACCTCTCTCAGCCTGTCTTCATAGGAAGGATGCTCCAGCCCTCTGATCATCTTCATGGCTTTCCTCTGGACTCGCTCCAGCAGCTCCACATCCATCTTTCCTTCTTATGGTGGGGGCCCCCTATGAATGTAGCTTGTCTTACTTGTCATAGCTGCTCTCCCCACAGCTATATATGCTGCTTCTTAAGCTTTTAATGGTTCAAGTAAGCTAGATTTATCAGCTACAAGTATTATAAAACATTCCAAATTTCAGATGTAACCAAACAAACCAGCATCTTCATTCATCCAGATGAATGGAATGATCCATTTACCCTCATAGGCATTCACAAGCACCTGAAGAGCTCACATAGGCATGTAATAAAGATAAGGAAACTAATTTAGCACTTATGTATCTTTCCTAACATGTTAAAATATGGTTTTGAAACTGGTGCAGCAAACAGAGGGAGACCACATGAGCATACTTAAGAGCTCTTCTGTTTCACAGCTGTAACTGACTTTAAAATTGATTTAATTTTATCACTGTCAAAAAATTCTGATGCATGCAACCAAAATCTGCTCACCTTCCACAGGTAAAATGTTAGCACTAAACTTGCATTCCATGCACAATAACAATGTGACATTACTTGTTACCTTCAGATCCCTAGAGTTGTATTTTTAAAGAAACTATAGTGCTTATAGTATTCCAAACGATGCTCATGCTGGAAGTTCATACTTAGGAGGTACAATGTAAACTTGGTTAGTATATAAATACAACTCCTTTGAAGGCTAATTTGAGTTTGCTACATGTTATACTCATCAACATCATGCTTTGACTTGTTCAGTAAAAGCTATTGAAGGTATCTACTTGAAATGAAATGCTTGGGTACGTTGTTTGCATGTGATTACCAGAATAACCCACTGGTCTCTATAACAGTGTGAATCATTACCAAAAAACAGAATACACAGGTGAATATATTATGTAAGGCATGATTTAATATTAAGTATTAAAACAACAGCTTCAGGATTAACTGTTTTTTTAAAGTTTCATCTTCTAAGTGGTGTTTGTTGGGGACTGGTGAAAGGACTGGCTAATACCCATTTGCAGAAGAGCCTGAGAGCTCAGATGCAGCGTTACCAACCAGGATACCCAAGTACAAAGAGAATTTATGAGAAACTGCACAGCCCTTGTGTTGTGCTGAGATAGAGAGCAGCTGCTCCTACAGACTGTAAGTATTTTGGTAGCGCTGCCCCATGCCGATCTGTATTTATTAAACACCCTTTGTGATCTGTAGCAAACCACATGAACCCAAAGCTTTATAAATCAGGATTACAGAAATCTGTGGCCTGTTTAAAACAAAGTAAAGCATTCTTGCTATTATTTCTTTGGTGACTTCAACCTCCATCAGTAACACTTGCATCACTGTAAATAATTACCCAACTGTGGTTCCAGGCTGCATTATTAGGAATGACTTGCAGTAGTCATGGCCCTTTTCCAGAGTGCTATGGCAACTCTGGGACAACGGTTTTCCAGTCAATTTTCTTCTGTGGATATGCACCAGGTATCAAGGAGCTTAAACATTTGCTGATATCCTGGTTCACACAGCCACATCTTCCAGATGTGAAGAACTTGCACAAATTACACAGAGTTCAGTTCAATAACATTAATGAACAAAGACTAGCTTGCTTTCATTGCATGCAGCATTATGGGGTGCTCTGCAAGCTTTTATTTCTCCTCACCTTAATCTAATCTGCCAGTAAAGATCAGAAAACTAGGTTATCAATGCAATTTGCTAAACCAAAAGGTTTTGAGCAAGAAATAATGTGGTGTGAAATAGAAAGATTTTTCAGTAAACACCCATAGCAGTTAATAGCGAGAGCTGCTGTGGGATAGCTATTTACATTTCGCTCATAAGCAACACCAGTGCTGGGAGCAGAAATGGAGAACAAAATCTAAAGAGAAAGCTTTGCAAGAGAAGCTGAGATATGCAGGTTCTCATCACCAGTGGAGCACTCCCTGGGCTATTTTCCAGAAGTATCATTGCAGCCTTAATGAAGAGAGGAAGTGTGCCTTTTACTAACTCTTCCTGCTCAAGGTTTTGAGCTGTCACTTGGTGGAAGTCTTCATAAAAACACCCAGAGACTTCAGCAATGCCTTCCATTGATCAGAAAGTTAGAGAAGCTACTTCAGTAAGTGTACTGTTTCTGTGTCCTTTTTTTCAGTGGTTTGAGATCTCATATGTTCTGCATTTTAAATTAAGCACTTTTTGGCATTTCTGTAAAAAGGCTCCCTGTTCAAATTTTAATGTGGCTTGTGATACTGACATGCTTCTCTTCACTGCCAGTTAAAAGGGGAAAAAAGACAAATCAATGTTTTGAAAAAATGCCTGCTTTGATGCACTAATGAATAAGAAGGCAAAACAATATTTCAAGAATAAATGGAGTAACTGCTGCAGAAAGAATAGCATCGCTATGTTTCTTTAGACCATTTACCAGCTCATTCAGTATTCCTACTTCAGAGGGCAGATTTATGCAATATTATTTTGCATGTTGTTTTAATTTAATTAAAACATATTTAATTTAATTTGAGACTCTTCCTTCACAATTCCTGCTTGACAAGTGTGTGACATATGGGGTTTGCTGGAATTTGACATGAGCCAAGCGTAGTTTTTTCAGTGTGCATCATTAATATCCATGATGTCAGTGCAACCCAGTAGCCACGGGAGCCCAACCCACCTGCTTTTCTTAGGCCTTGGATTATGTAAGAAAGGTCTGGGGCTGCCAGTCAGAGGTTCTTATCCCTGAGCTTACCTGCCTCACCGTTTTTACTTATGCAGCATGAAGACATTTTCTTATTACAAACCCAAAAAACTTACCTCTGAGAAAAAACACATAATTTTTCAAGCTTCATTACAGTTATTCACAGTTGTCACAGTGTTCTCTTCCTCTCTGTATTGAACAAGGGTTGTCAAAAGCAGGATGAGGATACAGAAAAAGCTATACAAGAAGAATGAAGCCTTCTCTTGTATGAGAGGGCAATATTTTGAAAGGGCAATTATTTAAGGTTTTTCTTAATGTTAGTTACTACATGAACAGGAAAATTATACATCACAGGCTTAGAAATGAGAAAGAGGGAACCGATGTCATTAGCTGTTCTGAGACAAGGCCAGTTCTGTTTCAGACAGTGAAAAGACTTAGAAAAGCAGGTATTTACAAAAAGCTTTTCAGGGTAATTACAGTGTCTTCTGTTCTTTTTAAAGGAGATGTTAAAAGCAGACTTAGAGATATACCAAATGCAGACCTATTTACTTGCTCTTATTGGCATCTCACTGTGTTATGTTAAGCCAATATTTGTATTACTGCCTAGAGTGAACTCATGCAAGCTAAGGGAATGCTCTTACAGCCCCCATTACTGTATGTACTATTTACATAGAAAATTATTTTTGTATCAGCTGTGACAATCTTTGCACAAGCAAGAACTATGCAAAGTAAGATCTATAGAATCAAATGCTGCATAAAGAAACATTCAGCTGCCATCCAGATGCCCTGAGTTCCACAGTAGGACATCAAGAACCATTCCTCAAGGCAATACTGAAGGAACCATTAAAAGAATTTGAACATGTATGACACCCCTGTAAAGTATAATCTGGGAACACAACATATAATTTCATCCTTTTAAGTACTTTCTGGATTTACCATTTTACTTCCAAATAGCTAGCTACAGTTCTATTAATTATCAAACCCACCAGTAAAATATCTGTATTTTTCACAAATGTTTTATTGCAAAGAATTTTAATGGCCTCTACAAAATACAGAAACATTTAATGACACCATTAGATTTCCTATACATAAAATTTGTGAGGTACATCAAGAAGATAGTTCCAGGTCACCTAAATGTTAGTGAGCCTTCAGCTAATTGTGAATTGTCAAGATTTAGGACTTTCTTAGAAGATTCAGAAAGAAAAATCAAAATCACTCCTTAACCCCCACACAATAGAGAATGAGCAGAAATTGACTTCTAGCTCACTAATTATTTTTTCTCATACTTAACAGTT